TGCCTTTGTACCGACTTCCCTCGCATACCTTAGCAACCTATGCGAGCCTACCCACCAACAGGCGGTCAGATTGGACGTAGTGGTCAGCATGCTGTCAGCCTCCGTCAAATCCGTGTTATGTTCGACCGTTGATTTCGACGATGTCCTTCGTATGCTGCACAACAGGATGGTGCGGGGACGGTGACTTGCGATGCATCTACTGCACTCTCTCCCCCCTCACCCGCCTGAGCCCGATGTTAGGACGGAGTCTAGAGGACCGGAGGCGAAATCGAGCACAGGTGGTTAGCGCGACCGAAGCATTCCTTTGCTCTGCAGTTACAGTTGATGGGAGGGGGACGCGCTGGCGAACACTCCTTCCAGTGAAAATATCAGTGGGCTCAACGGCCGTGTAATTATCACTTCAAAAGCTAATAGCTGACGATCAAGCTATCCTCGCTCCGGGTATGCGCATTGTGGGTGAATGCGGAGGCTACTGGTCACAATAAGTGTGTGGTAGGAAAAAACTGCGCCTTATAAATATTGCACCCCCTGTACGTCCGTCATCTTTATCTATTACTAACTCTGATGATGCGTTAGTGTGAATCCGAAACGTTAGCCAAATATAATTCTTGCTCCGCCTTTTCGTCTCCTTTCTTGGACTCGCTATTTCGTTTCTGTCGGTAGTCCTGTCTAAATCAGCGACTCCCGCATTCGTCGCCTCGAGTGTTGTACTTGGCGCCAGCGTTGGTGCATCGTCCCGCACAGATTACTTAATTGCCAGAACTCCATCATTAGTTTTGGTCGTTGGCTTGACAGTGATTAGACGGTCTAACTCGTTGGCATTAGCAATATTCATCCGCGCGCGCTTCTCACCTGGCTATTTGCTATGCCCTGGCAAAATCTCGGCGCCGAATATGGAGCGGGAATGCCATTGCAGATGGGGGGCCGGAGAACCATCACTAATGCAGCTCGCAACTCATGGGGTTCTCGTATTGCGCGAGGTCAACAGAGCAAGCGCGCGAGCAAGTGACAACAGAGGTCAACAGACAGCGTGAAAAGAGAGGTTAACACAACAGTTGTTTCTGGCTTATGCCCTCTTCAGGTAATTACACCACCACAAAAGGGTTTGTCGCAAGCGTAGACGTCAACAGCATGCGCCATGCGGTGGGCTCAGGACTGGTAACTTGCGCGTGAATTGGTTTATAGTGTGGACTTGCTTTTATAGCTAGACTGTAAAAAAAATCGGAGCCGGTCTCTAACGCGTTGGCTTGCAGTCCTCAGAGTGTCAGAATTAAGAGATCCGGGTTGGTAATTTGAGAACTAATGCGGGCTCACCGCTGTGCCTGTGTGGATGTCTTGTCCTGAGCTTCGTGTACGTAATGACGCAAGATTTTATAAGCTGCAGTAAGGTCGAGATGCCTGTTGATGGATTTGGCATCTGAATCCCACGTCTCAAACGTTAACCGTCCCGTCTTCGAATTGTCCTCGCCTAAGATGGTAGCTTGCGGAAAATCGCAAGTCTAGCCAGTTTCTTCAGTGTGCGTTGCAAGTTCAGATTTTAGGTCTAGTTCCGATCTGCTGATTTGTGCTCCTGTAACCTGGTCTGAAATAACCGCCCAGCCTCCCCAATTGCAGCCCCCCTTATTTTAAATTATTTCGTAGACAACTGTCGAGGTTCGGTGGGTGCTAGTATGTTCTTGGGTTGCAGCAAACAGTGATGTAATTTTAGCTTTGCCTACAATGGTGGGTTATAACGTTCGAGAAACTGCTCCAGAGACTGCTTTAATGTAGGGCATGGCTCTAGAGTTCAAAGTGCGGTCCTCTTGGCCGAGCTCGGTAAAAAAGATATA